AAGTTTATTTATTAATAATAATTATAATAATAATATGAATTTAACTAACTATAATATTCTTTTAAATTTAGTAAATGGGCTTATAAAATATGGCTTATATAATCGTATAATAGCAGCTATATAAGAGGTTGCTTAAATTTTTAAATTTGATCTTGAAGCAACACGTAAGCTATGCTCTTAATTATATCGATATAAAGAACAAAATACACTATTTAACATTCCATATTCTAATAAAGATAGTCCAATCACTTGGTAGGAATCTATTGAAATAGAACCTAATTATTTATAAAGAGTAGCTTTATATATTTTATCAATTTATTCTAATAGTGCAAGTTGTGAAAGAGGATTTTCAACTTTAGGCTGGTTAACAGGAAAAAGAAGGTAAAATTTGGGTGTAGAAAAATTAGAATCAATGACAAAATTGATAACATATTATAAATCAAATACACCAAAAAAATTAGCATTTTATGAAAAGAAAATAATAGAATCAGAAATAATGGAAACAGTTCAGTTAGCGTTAGCTGAACCAATTGATGATAATTATGATGATAGTACTGAATCTATAGTAGAAAGAATAATTTCTGGAGAAGTGATTTCTGAAGATAATGTTAGAGTTGTAATTAAACCATTATAGTTAGAAAGAACTTTAAATTTAGAACATCAAATTATTATTGATAGTTTAGGAAAAATTCTATTTGATGATTTTGAATTTATAATAAGAAAGAAAATCCAAATAGACAAGGTATATTTGACTTTACCACTGAAGATCTATTAGCAGAATTTGGTAAAGGTACATAGTTTTTTTTTTATATATATATATATAAGGTTATTTTAGATATTTTCTTTTTTTTTTATGATTTAATATTAATATTATAATTTAAGGTGGAAAGATAAGATAGGATCTTTGAGTGAAAATATCTCAAACGAATATATTTATCATTTAATTATGTTGGAATTTATCTACAAAAAAACATTTACATAATAAAAAAAAATTTTTAATCTATTTATTTTTTTCTAAAAAACAAAAAATTCTATTGTATTTTACATAGGATTCTTTAATAATAGTATTTTTAAAAATATATTAAATTAAAAATAGTTCTATTTTTTTCAAGTTAGGATTCTTTAAGGAGTTGAAACGATCATCAAACTAACACATGCTTTCTATAAAAATACCTTAGGGTAATCAGCTGCGGTAAAGGAAGGGTATCATGACTTTTAACATTATTCATAAATTTTAATATATGACTTACTAGCTGTCAATTTAGCAGTAGTCTAACATACTGCATAAGCAAGCATTTGATTGTTAAGAAGTGATAAACAGTAATAGGTAAAAAGCAAGTATACTATTAATCTCTTTAGACGTATTCAAAATTTGATTATAGAATTATGAGTATAGTTATAAGGTAAGCGAAGTTAATTGTTATTTGTTAATTACTTTAATTTCAGCATAAATATTAATTGAACTTGCCTTGAATTCAACTTTAATTATTATAGAGTTTCAGTAATGACAAATATAAAACAAACTTTGTTAATCCTAAAAAGCATTAACCATGATTCAGATTTCGTGATGCACTTGCCGATACTGCTAATAAAAGAAGGTAAGCTTCATCAGTTTGATCCTTTATTCACTCCACTTAAATCAAACGAAAAATATTAAACTTACTATTATATATTTGATCAAAATTTATTATCGATTAATACTTGTTTTTTTTGTCATATGCTTTCACCTTTTTTTCCTACCATTTTGTCTAATAAGGACACTTAACTGTCTAGTCATGAATTATTAGAAACAGACAGAATAGACGAAAAAACAGGCCAACTAAAATATAAACGCAAAAAAGAAGAGTATACCTATTTTCTTTTTTATATTTAATTTTTTTTTTAATTTTTTTTATTTTATTTATTTTTATTTTTATTTTTTTAATTCTTTATTTATTTTTATAGCATTTGGAGTTCTCAAAGATTTTTTTTATTTATTTAATTTGAATTTATTTTATTTAATTCAGAGAAATTTTTTTTTATTTTTTTTTTATTATTATTATTATTATTATTATTTTTTATTTTATTTAATTTAATTTTATTTTTTTTTTATAAATTTAGGATAATTCTCTTCGATTATATTTTCTTTTGAAGGATTCTTTAGGAAGTAAGTTTTCTTTGGTAAGCTTTTAGGATTTCTTTGTGGTGGATTTATTCTTTTTTTTACTAATCTTCTCTTTTTTTTAAGAAGCAGATTTTTCTTTCTTCAGATAAGAGATAAGTTTTCCTTGAAGGGCTCTTGAGATTTCTTTAGAAGTGGATTTTGTTCTTTTTTACTACTTTCTTTTCTTTTTTTATGAGCAGATCTTTCGTTCTTCTTTGGATAGAAAGTAAGTTTCTTTAAGCTCTTTAGAGTGGATTTCGTTCTTTTTTTTATTAACTTCTTCTTTTTTTAGAAGCGAAGCGATTTTTCTTTCTTTGGATAAGAGATAAGTATTCTTTGGGAGCTCTTGGGATTTCTTTAGGTGGATTTCATTTTTTTTTACTAATTTCTTCTTTTTTTAGATCTTTCTTTCTTCAGATAGGAGGTAAGTCTTTTTAGGGATTCTTAAGATTTCTTTAAGGGTAAATTTTATTCTTTTTTTTTTACTAATTTCCTCTTCTTTTTTTAGGATCAGATCTTTCTTTCTTTTTCAGATAAAAGGTAAGTCTTCTTTGGAGTTCTTAGGATTTTTTTGAAGTGGATTTCATTCTTTTTTACTAACTTTCTCTTCTTTTTTAGAAGCAGATCTTTCTTTCTTTCTTCGGATAGAAGGTAAGTTTTCTTTAGAGGTTCTTGGGATTTCTTTGGAGGTGGATTTCATTCTTTTTTTTTACTAACTTCCTCTATTTTTTTTAGAAGCAGATCTTTTTTTCTTTCTTCGGATAGGAGGTAAGTTTTCTTTAAAATCCTTAGGATTCCTTTGGGGGTTGGATTTCATTTTTTTTTACTAATTTTATTAATTTTTTTATTTTAGAAGCAGATCTTTGTAAGTCTTCCTTAGGATTCTTGGGATTTCTTTAGGGGTGATTTTCATTCTTTTACTAACTTCCTCTTCTTTTTTTTTTTAGAGATTTTAAGTGATTTTTTAAGGTGAATTTACTAGTTTCCTTTTCTTTTTTTCTAGAAATAGACATGATTTTTATATGTTAAATAATGTTATAAGCATTATACTATAATTCTGATGCAAATGTGATATTTTCTATTATTAACTCCTTATTTTATCAATCCATTCGAGTTACTTCTAATGGAATTAATTTTTAGAATTTATGGATTAGCAATTCATAAAAGTTTTTGAAATAAAAGGGTTACTTTTTTTTAAATGATGTTTTAAGGATTTTCTCTTTTTTTGACAAGTAAAAAAAAAATAAAAATAAAAAATAATTCAAAAAAGAAAATATGATTTTAAATGATCTCAAATGATCTCAAATAACATTATTTTTATTATAAAATAATTATACTGTATTTTCTGAAAATTCAAATGATTTTAAAATAATTAATCAAAATTTGACTGTTAAAATTAATTATTAATTTACTCGAAACTTATATAATTTATTAATAAATATACCTATGAAATTCTGAAATATATTTTGGGTTAAGGTTAAAATATTATCTCATCTCCAAAACCATTGAAATTAATTTCAGAGTTCTGAAGTTTCAGAAATTTATAGTTTCAGCTGGCAGCTTTAATAGATAGTGATCTAAATAATCTGATTAGTTTGTTTTGCTAGAATTATGCTATGTTATAATATTTATTAACTTAAAAGTTATTATTTATTTTATTATACCTTACATAACATTTTCTGTGAAATAATGGAATTTTTTAGGAAGATAATATTATTTAAAGGTTACTATAATCACATTTGATAATGCTGATATTGTGAAACTTAACTGGCCAATACAGTAATTAGATCTTAATCCTATTGAAAATATTTGGTTTGAAATGAAAAAGATGATTTACCGTTATTCACCATTACTATCTAGTATTAGTGTATTTACGAAATATGTCAAAAATGCATGAGATGATCTCCCTTCTGAAAATTATCAAAAATTAATCAATATTATGCCTCAGAGGATCAATACAATTATTTTTTTGAATGAAAATAAAATAAATTATTAAATTTTTGTAAAATTCAATAAAGAAAGGTGTAATAAATATGTTAAACTAAAATTTATAATTTTAATTTTGTAAAACATATATAAATTTTTTAATATTGAAAAGTAGCTAGATCATTTAGATCACCATCTGTATATACAGTGAAACCTTCATAAGTGCATCCTCTATAAATATACACTCTATGTAAATTTTCTCTAAATGCATAGTAGACTTTTGTCTCAACTCATAAGAGCTCTTAATATTTTATTCTTTATAAATGCACACCCTCTTTAATTGCATATTCTGCTATTTTTTTATTATAGTCTCAAGGGGAGTGCACTTATGAAAGTATCACTGTATATTTTAAGAAACAAATATGATATTGGATTAAATATAAGGATTGATATAAGAAAATCAAAATTTAAACTTAATAAATTATTAGAATTAAACTTTGATTTTCTTAGATCAGCTCTTATATTCAAAAACAAAGAGATTTCTAAGAGGATATGATAATATACTTGTTATTAAAGTATAATTATAATTTTTTTTGCTTTACTAATTTTTTTATTTATAGAAAAAGGCAAAGATATATAAAAGCTTTTAAAGAAAATAATAAATATAAATTTTCTTTAAAAGTTTTAACATTTTGATAAATTTACACTTAGTAATTAATAATTTTATTTCTTTTTAATAAAAGTTTTGAAGCAATTAATTGCAAATTGTAAATACAATATTTTTTAAAATTTTGATTTTTTTTGATAATTTATATTTAGTAATAACTTTATTTTTTTTAGCATAAATTTTGGAATAATCATCTTTAAATTGTAAATATAATATTTTTAAAATTTTGATTTTTTTTAACAAATTTATACTTAATAATAATTTATTTTCTTTTTAGCTCAAATTTTAAAGCAATCAGCTCTAAATTATAAATACAATATTTTTTAAAATTTTGATTTTTTTGACAAATTTATGCTAATAACTTTATTTTTTTTAGTTCAAGTATCTAAGCCATTGGCTTAAACTAATAAATACAAATTTTTTTTAAAAATAAATATTTTAATAAATTTATGCTTAGTAATAACTTTATTTTCTTTTAGTAAAAGAAATAGTTTCAGAGTTATTAGCTCAAATTGGTAAATACAAATTTTTTTTAAAAGTTTTAATATTTTGACAAATTTATGCATAATAATAATTATATTTTCTTTTTAGTAACAAAAGTTTTAGAAAATTATAAATACAAATATTCTTTAATGATTTTATATATTTTTAATTATATATTTGACAAATTTATATTTACTAATTATTCTATTCTCTTTTTATCAGAATTTTTTATTTAGTTAAGCTGCAGTATAAGTTAAGTAATGATATAAGCTAGCTTGACTAATTTGTGACTTGTTTTATAGTAGCTTAAGCTGTTTTTATTTTTTATTTTTATATATATATTGCTTTTTTTTACTATTTATTTTATTAGTTTTTATTTTTTTATTCTTTTTCTTTTTTTTGTCTAAGAAATGAGACTCTAAATACTTTAAGTTTACATATTTATTTTGAGTAGTGATACTCAATTTATATTAACTATTGATTAGAGATTCAATTTTTTTTTGGACTATTAAGGTATTGACTTTTTTGTCCTGTAGCCTAGATACTATTTATAATAATAGTAACAAATAAGTATTAATTTTATAAATTATAATAAATCTATTAATTCTTTTATTTTTAATATAAATCAATTGCAAAAACTTAGAATTTTTCGATAAAAGTATATTAATTTTATTATAAAAATCTTATAATTTTAATATAACTAGGCAACAGAAACCGTTGTGAGTCTGAAGCAAAATTAGCAAACTCCTTATTATTTGTTAAAGTTTATTAAATAAAAATTGTAATTTTTCCAATATGAGCAAATTTAATAAATAGTTATACTAATTCTTATTTAAGTATTAATTTTTTTATAATTGTAATAAAATATAAAAATTGTGACATTTAATAAAATTGTAAAAACTTTAATAAAAGTATAATATTAATAATAAAATTGTAATAATGCATGTATATATGTAATACAATCGACATATACAGATATTATAATAATACTCACATGTAATTAGCGAAAATCAAGCTGCATACAAGCCACAAAAATGAAAGTGCGAAACTTTTTACAAAGAATTCTTTAGAACATGTTTATTAATCAATAAAATGAGTAGTAAATTTGTTAATTCTGATACCATCTGAAAGCATAAATACAGAAAAAATGAAACACCTGATCATCGTGAGATGCGTCTTACTACAGATCATGAGAAGAAACGTCAAAGCAGAGCAGCAGAAACTAATGAAGAACAAGATGCATGTCGCACATATGATTGCGAAAGAAAATGCCTAAAATCAGCAAATGAAACTGAGGAACAACGTGAAAAACGGTTAGAATATCTTCGTAAACTAAGAAGTGCAAAGCAACCGTAGTAGCTGCAGCAATATTTAGCCACAGAGCCGCAGCAGGGTCAAGCTATGAGGCTGAAGCAGATCGGAGCTAAGAAGCAAGCCAGGGGTCACAAGAGGATCAAGTCATGAAACTACTAAAGAACTGAGTTATAGAATCACAGAAAGATAATAATCAAGATCAGAGTGATGAAAACCCATCTGAGCTCAGTAAATCTGAAAGAGATCTTCTTCAGAAATTTCGCACTAAAGTTGATGAGATCAAACACACTCTTTGTCCTACATGCAATGAAAGCTTCTTATCTATAATACTTGTAATGGGAGAATACTGACGTTGTTATGCTGAAAATAAATCTCCAAAAAAGTTCTCAGCAGAGAATGATATGGATCCAGGTGAAATGCCGGAAGAACTTCAAGGTCTTACAGAGATTGAAGAAATGTTGATTACGTGGGTTTTCCCAGTTATGTCAGTCTATAGACTTTGTGGAAGACAACACAGATATCATGAAAACATAATTAACTTCCCTCAAGACATATAAGGATTTGCCACTCATCTTCCTCGACATCCATCATTATTGGATATTCTTTTTGTACGTCGCCAGTCTGAAAATAATTCTGCAGCATTTAAGGACTTTAAAGTTCGTTGTGCTAAAGTTGCTCATGCTTTATGCTGGTTGAAAGAAAATAATCGTTATTATAGTGATATTATCATTGATAACGAAGTACTTCAGTCCTTACTAGTAGATGGATCTATTGATAATAAACTTCAGAATATTCAAGTAAATACTAAAGATTAAGATGAAGATGAGAATAATGTAGTTACACACACCTTTGTTTTGACTCCTCTTCCAATCTGTCGCGAAGATGTTACCATTAAAAATACTCTTGATCGTATACAGAATGAAGAATCTCTAATAGAATGGCCACAAATTGATAGTCATCCAGTCAATGAATTTCAGACATTTGGGTATATTACATGTGCATTTTCAGCTCTATACTTAACTGTATGCACAGATCTTCGTACGGCACGTATTAGAGACATAAAACTGGCCAAATACTTTAAATATCTTTTCTAATATAAAGATGGAAGATTTGCACGCCATTCACGTTAGTGGTATTTCACGTTGAATTCTCAAATGTGGTGGAGAGCCCTACAAGAAGGAAAGGTATATGTCAAGCAAAATCTTACTGATCCTCAAATCACTGTTATGGATATTCAGAAGAAGATTGCTCAAGATGATAATCATATGGCTGATAGAATTATGAGATTTGGTGAGGGTTTGCGTGGATCCCGACAGTTTTAGAATGCAAGACGTTGAAAACTGTCAGATATGATTAAACAGATAGATTCACAAGGGCTAGTGTTCTTTACATTCAGTGCTGCTGATTTGCACTGACCCGAGCTGCATGAAGTTATACCACTTAATTTCGCAGAAGAAGCTGAGTCAAATCACCAAAATATCATCAATAATCCTCATATCGCAACTTGGTT